CTGATGACAAAATGTTCAGTGTTAGACTACTTCCTAAACTATTACCTCCTAATTCACGAGTGGTGGCAAACTGTTGCAGTACTGTCATGTTATCTTTGCAGGGCTACCCTAGCTAAAGTTGCAACTTCTGGAATAGTTTTTAATCTTTTTTTGTACAGTATTGTATAAAGGCTTTGAATTTTTCTCAGACCGATAAAGTAACAGCAGTTGTTTATAGAATGGGTCACTGGTAAAATGTTATCCTCACCTAGCCTGCCACATTAACAGGCTCCCGGCGAGCACCTCGTCCCGTCCCGATCGCTTGGCTCTCCGAATTCTTCAGTTTCGCGCTCGCTTTGCTCGCCAATTTTTTTTCCGTCCTCGCCGGGAGCCTTTTCGCAAGCTATATTTCAGTTAAATTTGTCACGAATCAAACATCCTTATAACACTATCTCGATCAACTTTTTATCAAATGCTTTAACAACTGTTGTTCGGTCTTGAGTCTCATCCTGGTCTATAACTATATACACAATCCATTTCATGTGTCTGTCCACTAATTACAATTACAAATTAAAAGATAGCTTACCTCGCTTCGACATTTCGCTCTCTTGGTCTCTCAAACCCTTCTGCCCCTGCAATTTAGCTTCCGCGTCACTTTCCATGTCTGAGTTTGATTGATTAGATTGTTCCAAAATGGCCTCAAGTTCCTATGTAGAAAAAAATAGAGAATACTCAACCCATTCAGCTGGTTTCATCTTTCTTATCCCTTCTCTAGTCTGCCGGAATTATATTATAAGAATTACCTTAATTAAATGCAGCATCAATGAAAAAAGGTAAGTTTAAGTCTGCATACAAGCCAAGTGGCCCGTCAGGGCAAAGCTTACCCCGGTTTCTCTAACAGGAAGCGACTAGGAATATTTCTACTCTCCCCCCTGGATGGGATGCTAGTCCATCGCAGAGTAACCCCAGCATTAAATTCGCCGGTACCCATTTGTACACCTGAGTGGACAGAGGCACTGAGAGTAGAGTGTCTTTCCCAAGAACACAACACAATGTCCCCGGCCAGGGCTCGAACCCAGACCGCTCGATCCAGAGACGATCGCGCCTCCAGAAGTCCAGCACCAATACCATGGCCGAATATCGCTCAGGAAATTTCGATGCTGTATCTATTTTGTAGCTAAAGATCCTACATACTTTCAACATTCGATCACTTACTATATTTAAGTACCAAAGACTGTGAATTTTTTTCAAAAAAAAATGAAAGAATTAAAGATTGTTCGCCTCACTGGGACACCAGAAACAGGAAAACTAAGTTTACTTCGGTTAATAAATATTTACACCTTTCATTCTTTCAAAGAAAGCGTCTTTTTTACCCAGCGGTGATCCGGATAAAATTTTAAATCAAATAGTATGTGACTCGTGGTTAGTGGTTACGCTATAAAACTACTGTATTTCTTGAGTTGACCAAGTGGAAAAGTAGAAAATTATACCCACAGTAAATAATAAAATAAAATAATAATAATAATGATGATGATGATAATGATAATAATAATTATAATGATATTAATAATAAATGTATCAAAA